TGTCGAACGCGGCGCCAGCGTCCCGAAAACAGAACACGACAAGGCTGGCGCACCATCGAAGCTCGCGGAGGCAGGAGGGCCACAGCCGCGCCGCGCGGCCTCCGTACTGGACAAAAAAACGTACAGCGAGTTGAGAGCAGACAAAAGCTCGCGGCGAATCAGACCCCGCGAGGCGAGGTGGGACACCACGCGCGAGATCGTCTTGCCCGACGCATATCCCCTCCGGCACAGCGCAAAGAAAGCCAGCCTCAGCTTTCACCGGAGCGCTGGGTTCAGCCCGATGATCGGGAACTTCTTGTCGAACTGCCAGCCCAGCGCCACGGCGCCAAAACTACACTCAACTCCGTGGGTAGGGAGCCCCGCCGCACGAAGATGCGAGTCCACGGCCGACGCGGCGGCGGCCGCCGTCTCCAAGTTGGTCGAGAGGCTGATCGCATTGTCCACGTACTCGGTGTGAATCACACCCTCGGACACCTGCGGCACCGGCCGGCGGTCCACGAAGCGGCTCGCGAGGGAGAGCTGGGGCATCTTCAGGGCCATTCCCTCCAGCATCGCCTGGCAGATCCACAGGCTCAAGGAGCAGCCCATCGGGGGGCATCTGAAGCACGGGTGCACCAGGTCGGCCCCTGCCAGGCGCCGCCCGTCCGCGGTGCTCTCGAGCCCCAGCGTCCCAGCGCGGCAGCCAGGCAGCGCGAAGTACCTCCTGACCTTCGGCGGCAGCAGTATCGTGTAGAACACATCCGCCAGGTCGACCTCCGCCACCACGATGGGCTTGCCCCCGCCCACGTGGAGGCCGGCGAAGGTCGCCCCCGACGCGAGAGCGACCCTGTCGGGAACCTGGAAGTGCAGGGAAGCGTGCCTGCCGTCCAGGATGAGCCGCAGCTTACCAGACTTCTTGTAAACGAAAAAGACACCTACGCTACAACACTTGTCGTCGAAAAATTGGAGAAGATTCCGACGCTCGAGGATGCACAGCAGCTGGACATACAGCTCGGGGTTCCTCAGCGCCGGGTCGGTGTAGAACTTCCGGGGGCCCTCGGACTCGACCCGAGCCCGACCCTCAGACTGGGACAACATCATATCATGAAGCCGCTCGACTATCCTACGGCCAGCACCTCCTCCCAGCGCGTCAGGCGGCACAGGCTTGAAACCCTCGTCGGGAAGAGAGAGGCTGTTGATATTGTCAAAGTCGAGCGGAGCGACGGTGGCGCTCTCGCCAGCATAGCCGCTGGGAACTCGGAGCTCCTCAAGGGCTCCTGAGCCCGTCAATCCCTCCGGGGGTGCGCCGAACCGTCGGACCGCGTCGCGCGCGTTGTCCAAGGCCCGCTGCTGGCCCGCTGTGATGGACTGATGATGGCTGACGGGGTGCCAGGGCTGGCCAAGGTACAGCTCGTTGAGGGTCCGAACGATCTCGCCCCCCATCGAGTTGGCGTGGCCCTTGCGGAGAACCCGACGCGCCACCGAACGTGAACAAGCGATGCCATGCGCCTCCGAAGCTGCCCGATGCTGTTGACCGGGCTCTGGCAATGGAAATAGTTCACGCTGTCGCCCAGCACGATCGCCCGATGTGTACAACTCACTAGCAGGCGGCGGGACACCGCCGCTGGGCCCCCTCCGAAAACGCGCGCACCGCCGGGGGGTAGCGGCACGCGTGGTCGTGAACTCGTCATGATCGCAAGGCCCGCTGCTCCTCGCGGGCCTTGCGAACCTGCTTCAGCACCGAAGCACCCCCCCACACCTTCTTCGCCACGTGCTCGAGGAGCAGAGGGCAGATGATGCTCTCTCCATGGTCTCGACTGAGACCGGTAAAGACGGCGCTCTCGTCGATGAACCCGAAGCTCAGCAGGCTGTGGCGTCCGCCGCCACACCCCCGGCCTCGGTTCTTCTTCTTGTCGCCCCCCTCGCCGCCCCCGTCTCTGCCGGAGGACGCACTGTGGTGAGGGTCCCGATCCATGACGTACACGTACTCATACATCTGGCACTTCCTGAAAATCTGCCCCGCCCCCGCCAGGTTCGGCAGGTCGAGGCCATCCCAGCATGCGAGGGTGTAGATGGCCCGCATACTCGTCTCAAAGTCGCCGACCCCGTAGTCCTCAGTAGACAGCCCCAGGGTGGACCTCCAGAACCTGCAATGATCGAGCGGCCCGCCCTGGCGTCGGTCTATGAACTTGCAGCACCAGAAGCACGCGCGGGGGCCAGGAATGTACCAATCCACGAACGACTCCTCTGTGAAGTTGGCCACAGCGTCGCGCCACTGCCTCAAGAGCCTGCCGCCCGGAACCGCTGGATTCGCGACGATGCTCATCAGCCTGGCGCCCGAGGCGGCCTCCCGACCCGCGTAGGTCTGCGCGGGCTCGGATATCGAACGGATGGCCACCCGCGCCCCATCGGCCTGAGGCATCAAGCCGACGGCCCCGCGGAGGTCCGAACTGGCGGGCGGAATCACAACCGTTCCACGCCAGCCCGCCGCGGTCGACTCGACCAGCACCCAGACAGCCGCCTCGGCCGCGGGGGCCGGCACCCCCGGTCCTGCTGCGGCAGCGCCGCCCGGCGCCGCCCCGCCTGCAGGGGGAGGCGCCGCCGGCGCGCCGGCGGGCAACGCCGCTGGAGCGGCCAGCGCGGCGGCCACTGGGGGGCGCGGCGCCTGCGGCGGCCAGCGCGGCGCCCGCGCCTTGGCCACCATCCCCGGCAGGGCCGAAGGTCAGCAGCACGAGGAACGGCCCGCCGGGCGCACGCAGCCGCAGGCGCTGGTGGTCGGCGACCAGGGCAGCGGTACAGTAGTCCAGCGCGGTCTGGTCGATCTGCTGCATCTCCACCGCCGTGAGGTTCCGCCTGAACCGGTACGAGTTGGCTGCACCGACACCAGGCGGGAAGGTCGCACGATCTGATGTGAACCTCACGGCAATGATGTCCCTTCCCTGGCACGAATAGTCTTCTTCATGTCGGTGTCCACCGTGCGCATCAGCACCATCCAATCAGTGACTCTCTCCAGCGGTGTCTGGACCCGACGCCCTAATAATCAGGCGCTGGTGCCACAATGGCTCTCCTTCGTAGCGGACCCACGCCCACTGGGGCATCCCATGAGGCGCTGCCTCCGCTGGCCCCACGTTCTGCGCGGCCAGCATCGCGCCAGCAGCAAGTCGCCCCGAGACGGTTCCACGACAAGATGCCGCAGGTCAGCGCCAGGCCCAGCAAGAGGACCTCGTTCAGCAGCACCGCGTACCACAAAGAGGAGGACTGCCTCGGCCCACCACCGCCCTCGCCGTTCACTGAAAGCGCGGCGGGAGCGAGGGGCCCCCCAGGGCACGCCGGGCAGCCAGGGCACGGCGGACACACGCAGCTCGGCATGGCAGGACAGGCGGGGACGTGCACAGACGGGCACCTTTGTAGGTTGCCGCCCCGGAGATATGCAAGCGCCCCCTGCCAAGCGTACTGGGCGGCAGGGAGCAGGCAATCCATTCGCACTGCCTTGGTGCGAATTCTTGAGCCCCAAAACCCACGGAAGCGATCTAACATCGACGGCCTGGACCCGTGACGGGATGAGGAAAGACATGCACGCATAGGATATACATTTACATGTACATATACACGCATGTGCATACATAAATACATACATAGTTGTGTATGTGCAGATGTATGCTTAAGTATAAAAGCATGCGGAAACGTGCACATCTACGCATACATTTACACACACACATACATACACATGCATACATACATTGAACCAAGTACATGCGTATGCGCAATCATATGCAAATACATGGACGTGTACATATTCCCATACATACATGTACCTACACCTATACATATACACATACCTAAACAGTTACATCCACATGTACACATATACGTTCGTATACCTGCATCGAATCATAAGCATGCTCATTACATACATATACATACACATACACATATACAAGTACAAATGCATACACATATGCATCATCAAATACATATGCAAGTCCATATGCCCATACATATACGTGTACACATATACGCACATCTACATATACATATGCAGCTACATATACACAAACGTATGCATAGACGTACATATATATATACGGGAATACATATGAATTCACATATACAGTTATGGATGCAAGCTTCACGTGTGTATACCCATGCATATACACACATATGTACATATGCATGTGCAAATACATACATGCACATGCACATACATATACATATACATAAAATTACATATACATATACATATACACATACATGTGTATATGAGGATGTACATATATATAACATATATATATATATGTATACAAGTAAATATATATCTATATATATGTGAGCTAGCGGGGCCATTACGGGGCCAGCACACGCCGAGCTATTATTCACACGCGGAGCGGCGGAGCAGGCGCAAGCCTACAGGGTGAGTCACTTTCTCACAGCAGTCTCGCACGAGTTGAATCGAGCCATCCAGGAAGAAACCATTGACGAGGCGTCACCAGAGAATCTCCGAGCTGCAGAATCTCCGAGCTGCATGCCGAGGAATACGAACCAAGCTCGAACACTCTCCAAACTTATATATATATATATATATATATATATATATATATATATATATATATATATACCCCCCCCCCCAAAAAAAAAAAAAAAAAAAAAAAAAAAAAAAAAAAAAAAACGGAGCCGCCAGATAGGGCGGGCGGGCGGGGCGGCTACAGACCCCCCCCCCCCGCAAGGGAAAGACAGTCGTCGACAGCACATCTTTCTGTGAGCTAGCGGGGCCATTACGGGGCCAGCGCACGCCGAGCTAGTATTCACACGCGGAGCGGCGGAGCAGGCGCAAGCCTACAGGGTGAGTCACTTTCTCACAGCAGTCTCGCACGAGCTGAATCGAGCCATCCAGGAAGAAACCATTGACGAGGCGCCACCAGAGAACCTCTGAACTGCATGCCGAGGAATACGAACCAAGCTCGAGCACTCTCCCAACCCACCAATCTGTACTGTCGCCCCTCAGGGTGGGCGGGATCGGGGTCTCAAGTGTTAGCCTGCGCCCTCAACCGACGGATGGAATTGGCGGCGGCCAGCATCTGCTTCCTCAACGAGTCGCGACTCGCTGGGTCGAGGAGCGCGGCGCCCATCGGGATCTTGTGACGGATGGCCGCGGCCTGGCGCAGGAGCTTGCCACTCTTCCCGTGCCTCTTCACACTGCGTGGCGCCAGCCAGCGGCCTCTTTTCTGGATCATCTGGAGGTCGAGCAGCTGCAGGTGCATGGCCGAGCTGGCCCCGCCGCGGCGTGCCGAGTGAGGGGTCACTCGGAGCGGGTCGAGGCCGGCCAGCTCTGCGCCTTTCAGGATGTGGCGCTCGCACTCGCCCAGAGTCAGCGGCGAGAACAGCGGCTGGCCTGGGAGCGCGCACCGCGGCAGGCTCAGGAGTACCTCGGGGGCAAACTCGAAGCCCAGGCCCTTGGGCCCGGCGAGGGCGGCGTCGTCGAACTCGCCGCTCTTGGCTGGCCGCGCCGCCGGGCGTCTGCGCACTGCCGTCGGCGTCGACGGCACGGGCGCTCACAAGCCGGCGCGCGCGGCAGCCTCCGCGGCAGCCGCGCGCACGGGGCCCGGGGGCCACGATCGCGGCCACGCCCTGGTAGGCCCCCGCCCGCGGCGCCACGACGCCCTCGCGCAGGATGTTCAGCGTCTCCGAGGGCCAGGCGAAGAGGTCGTACTGCACGCCGAACGCCAGGCCGCTGAGCACCGAGAGCAAGGACCCGTCCTTCAGAAGCGCTGACACCACCAGCGCCGCTGCCTCGCGCGGGCACGGGTCCTCGGACACTGGAGGGTCGTCCCGGCGGAACCCCTGGAGCGACCTGCGGCAGCGAGGGGGCGCATTCGGCCCCTGGCCCAACCCGAGCTCGAACATCGCCCCGAAGAGCACGTGCCTGGCAATGCTGGTCGCCTCCCCGCGCAAGTACAGCTCCCCGAGGAACGCCACCAGCACCGCGTCCAGGTTGTCCGCGTCCTTGGCCAGCTTCATCACCGACTGCCCGCGTTGGCCCGCCCAGGCCTGGAACTCCTCGAAGGCCGCAGAGTAGCGGTCCTTGGTCTCCTTGCCGGTCGACCGCAGCTCGGGCATCGTCAGGCTCAGGTCGCTGGGGGACGCGCCCTCGGCCGCGCGGCGGCTGGCCCGCTCCTCGCGGGACTGGCCCGCCGGCGTCGCGGCGGCGGGGCGCGCCCTCTTGGCCATAGGCCCCGCCGAGGCCGCGCCGCCAGAGGCCGGCCGCTTTATCGCCACCGCCGGCTGCGGAGCGGGCTGCGTCTCCGTCGTGCCCACGGGGGCCACCGCGGTCACATCGCCGTGAGCCGCCCTCCTCTTGGCCACTGCGGCCTTCGGGGCAGGGCGGGGGCGCGCGGCACCAGCAACCAGGTCCAACGCGCCGCCGCTCGGCAGGGGCGCGGACACCCCAAGCTTCGGGGGCGCGCCCCCAGCCGACGACAAGGGCAGTCGGGCATCGAGGCGGACGTAGGACCCCTGGCGCTGTCCCAGCACGGGCGGCGGCCTCCAGGAAAGTCCAGCGCCAGGCGGGCCCGCGGCCGCGGCGAAGCTCATCGCAGCGAGCTCCCGACGGCGCGGCCCGGGCCGCGCGCCGCGCGATCGCGCGGCAGAGTCGGGGCGGGCACTGCCCAGCGAGCTTGGTGACCCAAACGCAGCGGGAATGACCAGCAGATGTGGGCACTGTGACCTTGGCCCTCCAGAGTGATGCGCGGTGCCGCGCAATTACATCGAACCCCAATGGCGAGATCCAGGCCAGGAAGTGTCAACGCAATCCGAGTTGGCTTGCGAAAAAGTGCCCCAAAGCGGCACAGATCGAAGTCGATGCACGAGCGCCCCAACTTGTCGAGAATGGTTTGCATGGGCCTCCACACCCAGAGCCGCGACGTGATCGGGTTTTCGACGGTGACGTATATTTTGTACTTGCTCGAGACGGCGAGGACGGCCCGGAGTATGCGAACCGATGCCAGAGCGCAACTCAGCCCCGCACGGGCCGCTGGTGCCTCGGGAGACCCAGTAGAGCGAGCATGTGAGGCCCACGCGCATGGAGTCCCAAGATGCACCCACCAGACGCGGCCCTGACGAATCCACTCGACGATGAACCCCAGGGTGCCAGGGCGGAGGATGTCGAACTGCAAACCGCTGTCCAACTCGAAGGGCACGGCCACGTCGAGCCCCGCCTGGAGGGCGGCCCCGGACAGGTGAGCGCAGCCTGCGAAAAGCCCTAAAACAAATCGACCAGCCTGACGTCTAGCCGAGGGCTGCGCCGCCTCGGGCCCGCCCCCGCAGCGACGCTCCTCGGCGGCGACGCCCTGCTCGGGCGCCGCCGGCGCCACTGTAGCCTGGGCCGCAGAGACCAGGTCGCGCTGCAGGAAGTCCGATGCTGCATCAGCTCGTCGTCGAGCCCGCTGGCGACCTGGCCCGCGCGGTGTGACCGTGCCCCTGGGCGACAGCTTCCCGCGGTCGCCGAGCCTGGAGCCCCTGTCGGAGGGGTTCCTGTCGGTGTCGACGCACCTCCGACGCCAGTCCACTCCGGCCGCCAACTGCCACGCGGCGGCCTCCCGACAGCAACTACTGAGGGCGTAGTTGCAGGCCCGCCCGCGCTCCTGCGCGAGGAGCTCGCCCACGTCGTCGCCGAACGAGACCACCACCGCGCCCTGCCCGCCAGCGGAGCCAGCCGCCCGCCGCAGCCCCAGCAGCGCCGCTCGCGCCTCCAGCAAGTGGATCGCCTCGCGCCGCCGCCAGCAGCCTGCCACGATCAGCGACCAGCGCCCCGCGTGGGTAAGCCGACCCGGCAGCGGAGGCACCGAGCCTTCCACGCGCTCGAACTGCCGGCAGTGCGCGCCCAGCCGGGAGGGCTCCGCCACCGCCGCGCTGGGGGCGCGGGTGTCCTCCCGCAGAGCCCCCACCATCACTGTCGCCCAGTCCTGACCGGCGTCTGGGCCGATCACCGCTGCAGCCAGCACGTCGCTGGGCCAGCGGTCGACGTACTCCACCACCTCGCGGAAACGCCACCTCTCCTTCCACTGGGCCGCGTCGAAGACCTCGGCCAGCCCGGCCTTGGCCTCGTGGAGCGCGCACTCGAACCGGGAGGCATCAGAACGCCAGATGGTCCGACACAGCGGCCGCCTCAGGTCGGCGTCCGCGAAGGGCAGCATGGACCGCGCGACCCACAGCTCGTCCCAGACGTCGGACGGCAAGGGGGCGAGAGTGCCCAGCTGCTCGCGCGCGAAGGCATACACCCTCTGCAGGATAGAGAGAAGCGGCGGCCTCAGGCCAAAGCGGTGGCAAAGGTGACCGCAGAGCACCCGCATGGCGTCGCCGGACAGGCGCCCCAGGGTCAGGGCGCGGCCGAGTGCCGACCACAGCCGCCAACATCGCTTCTGACTGTGGCGCAGGCGGCGCCGCGGCCCGTCCAGCACAAGGCCCAGGAACTCGAAGACCGGCCCCCCGTCGACGCGGCCCCGCAATGCAAACCCCCGCCGACGCAGCGCGGCCAGCACAAAGTCGAAGACACGCCGACCCTCGTCACGCCCGACCGCCAGCATGTTCGCGTTGTCGACGTACGGCGCCAGGGCTGGCACACGCGGCCCAAAGCACGCGGGCCGTTGCCGATCGCCGACCAGCACATCGGGTAGACCAGTCTCCCGCAGCGCGCCTCCCGCATGCACTCCGAGATGGCCTCGTTGCAGAAGTAGAGCGCCCACGACCATCCCATGGCCATCCCGAGGAAGCAGGCCTCGAGAACCTCGGACGGGTCGACGGGGTCGACGGCCTGCAGGTCATCGTCGAACACGGCGTCGAGCGCGATCCCGAACTCGTCGGCGATGCTCGAGGCGGTGCCGGTGTAGCCCAGGCCGAGCATGGACGCGAGCGCCTCGCACTTGAACTGGTAGAAGCCGTCGGTCAGGTCGATCGAGAAGCCCACCAGCTCGTCGTCGCCAGCCGAGTCGAGGTTCGCCTGCGCCGTCCGCCCGAGCCTTTCCTGGACCATGCGGAAGGACTCGTCGCTGGCTGAAAGCCTCGCCAGGGCCCCCGGCACCGCCAGCTGGCTGAGCGGCGGGGCGCGGCACATGCGGTTGGCCCACCTCGCGTCAATCACCAGTCGGAGCATGGAGTCCTTCTTCTTGACGAAGAAGCACCCGACCCGGCACCGAACTCGCCGCCGCCAAGTGAGCAGCCCTGCCGTGGGCACCGCCCGCAAGAACTCCAGCTTCTTCGCGCGGCTCCCCCTGAGGATCGGGTCCCAGTACGGCTGCCCGCGCAGCGCCCCCGAGTCCACGTCGGCGCAGAGCTCAGCGTCTGACTTCAGGATGTGCATGTGCGGGGCGTCGATCAGCTTCGCGGCCGCTGGAGACGTGACAGAAGCCACGTCCTTCGGGACCAGGTCACCTCTCGACACCCTCGGCTTGTCGATGCCATAGGACCCCAGCGCAGCGCCAGCCGCCACGGCATAGAGGTCGTCGGAGTGAAGCAAGTCCGCGAGAGCGTCCTTGCCTGAGGGCACGCTCCAGTCGGCAAGCAGCGGACTGGAGGAGGCGCGCAGCCGCTCGACCGCCTGGCGTTGCCAGGGGGAGAGGCGCGCGAAAGCGAGACTGCTCGCGCGGTGCCGATGAAAGAGTGGCAGCCGCGGATGCGCCTCCCGCAGAGCAGACAGCGCCACGGCAGCGTCCGAAACGAGGAGGTCCGGGCACTGCGCGACGTCGTTGACCAGGGAGACTCGCCGGCGAGCCGACGACTGGCCCGACCCCTTGGAGACCAAGGGGAAGGGCAGGGAAGCCTCGAAGAAATCCCGGGGAGGCTGAGGCACCACCTCCCCGGGGCCGCAGCCGGCGCTCAGCCGCCGCCCCCGCCCCCGGAGGAGCCGCCCTTGTTCTTGTCCTTGTCGTTGTTCTTCGGGCCCTCCTTGTCCCTGGCCTTCGCCGCGAGCTCCTCCCGCAACAGCCTGTTCTGCTTGAGGGCCCGGGCCTCCTGCTCCGCGAGCGCCGCCATGTGCGCCGTGAACTCCCGCGTCGCCAGCCCGCCGCCCTCGTCAGGCGCGTGCTCCGTCATCTTGGCCAGTCCCTGGAAAGACGGCGCCTTCGGGTTCACCCGCACAGCGCGCTCGATCTGCAGCACGCGCCGCGCGAGCAGCTCGAGGCTCGCCAGACTGCTGGCGTCCAGGCAATCGTAGCCCAGGGCCAGAGCCAGCACCTGGCAGTGGATGCGGTGCTCCAGCGCGATCCCGCTCTCTCCGTGAACCCCCGCCTGTCGCACCCAGTGCGCGTGGTAGGTGAACAGCGTGAGACCGAGCGCCACCACCCCGCGGACGAGCTCGATCACCGCGCGCGGCCCCGAGTGGGGCCAGTCGCCGATCTTCGCCAAGTCCGTCGGGCGGAAGTGGTCCGCGGCCTGCGAGAGCGGCACGAGCCCCGACCCGAAGTCGCTGCCACGAGCTGGAAGGAGGCGGCGATCCCGCCCAGCTCCACTCTGCTTGTCGCGCTCCCAGCTGGCGTACTCGGCGCTGGGAACCAGCTCCGCGAACAGCCACCGCCGCGGCTCGCCCCAGTAGACGAGGGCCACGGCGCCCTTCACGACGCCAGCGCTCGCCACCTCGTCCGACGGTACCTCCTGCCCGAACTCGAGCGCGCTGGTGTCCGCGATCCGCCAGCACACCCCGCTGCCAGCGGCCGGCGCCCCTGGGACGCCCTCCGCGCCCATGATGACGGCCAGCCGCGTCGCTGCCGCGTGGCGCCCCAGCAGCTCGCCGTCGGTGAGGGGCGAGATCATCGCGCAGTCCCCCGCGACCCGCGCCTGCACCGCAGCGCCGCGCGCCAAGGGGAACAGCTCGAACCCGCCGAGGTCCATGACCTCGAGCCCGCCGCTGGGGCCGAGGGCGACCCATCGCGACTCCTTGATGCGCCGCAGCAGGAGCCGGTGCTGCCAGGTCTCTGGGTAGCCCTCGATGGCCGCCAGCACCTGCGGCTCGTCCACATCCAGCCCGAACGCCATCAGCGCCGAACCTCTTGGGCAGCGAGGGTGGCCAGCAGCTCAGGTGACGGCCTGACGCGCTGCCGCACCGCAGGCGCAGGCTCCGCCGCGGCCGACTCGGCCCTGCGCGGGCCCTCGGGCGGCCCAGCCGCCCCACGCCGGCAGCGCCAGCAGTGCGCCCCAGCACAGCAGAGGCCGAGCAGTGCAAGGAGCGCCACCCCCAGCAGCGCGACGGCGCCCAGCGCCGCCGCCACCAGCCGCCACCACTGAAGGGCGGCCTGCTGGGCGAGGAGCTGCCGCAGCTCCTCGTCGCACGTGCACACGGGGCACGCGCAGTCGGCGGCGTCGGGCCCCTCGTCCCACGCCGCGCGAGAGCCCTCCACGGGCGGGCTGCACGCAGCGTGCCAGCCCCCAAACGCGCAGTGACCGGCCCAGCCAAGCGCCGCCGCGAAGACCGAGGTCAGGGGCCCCCAACCTGGGTCCATCCGGCGCCGCGCGAGGCCCGGGAGCTGGAGCCAAAGCGGCTACAGACCCAACCCCTCCCGCAAGGGAGAGACAGTCGTCGACAGCACATATGTGTATATATACATATATACAAATGCATACACGTACGTAACGTTTCTCGTAACACATAGTTTGGTGTGCATCCCCGTGTATATATTATATATATATTATATATATATATATATATATATATATGTATGTATGTATGTATGTATGTATGTATGTATGTATGTATGTATGTATGTATGTATGTATGTATGTGTGTGTATGTATGTATGTATGTATGTATGTATGTAAGTATCTATGTATGTGTGTATAAATACATACGCACAAGGAGGGAGAAAGAGAGAGAGAGAGAGACAAACAAAAATGTTTGCAACTGGGGGTTCTTACTGCTTATTAAGGAACTGGGCTGCTCTGTTGGTCTGGCGGCTGCGTTGCCGCCGTCGCCGCCCAGTGCCCGCCTCGTCGCCGCCCGTCGTCGGGGCCTGTATGTCGGTCACCGCGTTCGTTGGCGCCGTCTCCGCCCAGTCGCCGTTTCGTCGCCGCCCGTCCTGGCCCTGTCTGTCGGTCGCCGCGTTCGTTGCCACCGTCGCCGCCCCGTCGCCGCCTCGACGCCGCCCGTCGTCTGAGCCCGTTTGTCGGTCGCAGCGTTTGTTGCCGCCGTCGCCGCCCTGTCGCCGCCACATATAGACTGCACAACGAGATCGCGCAACATCGTGCACAACACAAATTTGCCTTTTTTTCCAGAGGGAAAAAAAATCCCTAAAAATTGCCCGCTTGCCCTTCCAATAGTACAATGTACATACGATGTTGCCTCCTCTTTCATTTTCCATGCTAAATCAAACCATCCCAGCCAGCCTGGCATCGACTTGCCCCGTCCGCCTTCGCAAAGAACACGATGCGCACGCACTCGTTTGTCAAAAAAACAAATTGCTAAACGATAGTGGACCAACGGAACGAAGTCCACGCGCGCGCGTCGTCGCGCGCGCGCGTGCCGAAATCCCGGATTCGTCGGGATGTCAAAATCGAGTGTCCCCAAAACACATGAAACACTGCAGCATGAAATGTGAACGGAAATCTGCGCGCACTCTCGCGAAATCTTGAAAACATTTTCATCAAATATGGCCAAACTGACCTCTCGCGCACGCATGTCGAAATCATTCGAATGCCCTGCCGCGCGTGCTGGGTGGGGCATGATCCCTGCCAAATAATACGATGCGGGCCATTCGTGCCCGAAAACCTTCGTCACCGGTGCGAAAGCACCATCATCGCTATCCGAGTGATCCGCATCGGCCGTCGTCATTGTCATCATTGTCACCAGCATCGCTACCGTCATCGTCGCGTCTGCATCTGTCAACGTCGCCAAGATACCGCACCAGCCCGAATCACCGACTCGTACTGAAGTGCCCACATATCAGCGCGGCCTGCGAGAGGCGCTGGGAAGTTCCTGACGGTCAGCGCCACCGCGGTCGCGTCGGTCGCGCCAAACTAGCTGGCCGTTCTGCGCGCGAGCCTGCGCGCGCTACTGCGGCCGCAGCGACGCGCCAGCCATTGCCAAGCAGTCATCACTATCGCCGCCGCTTGGATTTTGCAAACCAAATTGCGGGTGAATGGGGGGCGATTGCACGAGCATGGGAGGTGGTTACGCGCGGCGCAGGGTAGTCAATGTCACCACACACACACATTGCACCACAAAGACTGCGCACCACATAGATCGCACAACATAAACTGCACACCACCTGTTGCACAAAGTAGATTCTCCATTCTATAAATAAAGACTTTGGATGTGCCCCCCCGGTTCAAGATCAACCCTGGGGATGTGCCATGCACATGCGATTATGCCCCCCCATCGGCCATTACCAGCCAAACCAGTTTCGATGCCCCCATGCCCTTCGTCAATACTACTAGATACGACGCGCGCACATTCACGTCTCAGAATGCACTCGCTGGCAGGAGCCCGCTGCAAAAACGGGACAAAGTGCGCGCCCATGTGCAACTTACATATGAATAGACCACGTCGTTTAAATATGAATTCCTATCACCCGAGCCAAACCCGCATCGACTGGCCCCGCACACCTTTGCAACGCGCATTGCATGCAGCCCCTGCGGCAGGGGAAGAGAGGACGAATGGAAGAAAAGGGACAGGGGGGGGGGGGGGAGGACGGAGCACGAGCGAGAGAGACAGAGTAGCTGGAGGGGAGCTAGACGCAGAAAAGAACATGGCAGAACCAGGTGGGCAGATCGAGCGGGTAGACCCTAACGGGCGGGTCGGGAAGGCGGGCCCAGGCGGCCAGGTCGAACGGGCGGGTGGCTGAAGCGCGCGGCCTGCATGAATCGCGAGGAAAGCTCGGGTGACATGGCGATTCCCCAATAAATCGTGAGATCGGCCAGCGCGAGAGCGCGATTCCTGAGCGTCGACGGCGCGGCGCGATTCCTGAGCGTCGAGGGCGCGGCGCCTGCGTAAATTGCGAAGAAGCCCCACCCGCGCGAGAGCGCCATTTCTGCATCGATTGCGGGGAAGTCCACCGCGAGAGCGTGATTTGAGTATCAATTGAGACAAGTATCAGGCGGGAGTCGTCGTTGCTGATACTCGGCGGCCAGGGGCGCAGTTTGGTGGCCACTCGCTTTCCCCTGCAAGAGATGCGAGCAAGGATGCGGCGTTCCTCTTTCTTGCTGCTAAAGCCGATGCCGAAGGCTGACAGGTGCACCTGCGCCGGGAAGCAAATGGGGATGGAAACAAGGGGCGCGGGAAGAGCCCGAGGCATGTAGGGCCCCCATTGCTCCCAAAATTCACACTGATTATACTTTCTGTTCCCAAAAGTAGGAGCCTGAAACACGCCGGCAAATTGAGCATCAATCAAAACGCACGATCGGACCCAGGCCGGTCCTCTTAGCGGCCCGCATCTGACCACGAAACATAAATACTCATAGGCAAACAGCAGTCTTGAATATGCAGTGGCCGAGAAAGGCCGCAATATGAAATCTAAACATGCACATAAATATAATAAGCATCTCGGCTCTTGCCGCACGTCAAGGTTCAAAAGATTCACTCTCACGGCTCCTCCTCTGGAGCAGGCACATCCCTTCTGAGATGTAGGAACCCGGCTACGAGCCGGTGATACTGGCCACGCAAGTCCATCACCTTGGTGAGCACACGTGACATCCGTCGGCACCCACCGTGAAATCTGTCGGCCCCCACCTCATCGGAATGTCGTTGAGGCTCATGCTCTCCCTGGGGTCAACTGCAGCTTCGAGCTGCATCGCCTCGCGCAGCCACGCGAGGTCCACGATGAAACCCTTCTCCTGCAGCAGCTTGCCGCTGTCCCTGTGCATCGCGCCATGCAGTGACTTGCAGTCAGTGGCATACGTAATCGGCAGCACCCGAATACTCGCCAGCATTTCCCTGGTGGCGATGTCCAGGTCTGCGCACATCATCTCCACAATCGTCGCCCTGACGAACTCCGCAGCGTCGACCGCCTCGGCGCAGCGCTGAGTCTCCGTCGCGAAGGTACTCCGAGCCACGCGCGGCAGCGCATGGCTCCTCCAGTCCACCAGGATAGCCCCGCCCAGCTCTCAGCTCTCCTTCCGCCACCTTGCGCTCGCACACGTAGTCAAGGTAGCCCGCCTGAGAATGGGCCTTATCGCCCTGCGCCATCTTCTGAATGGCCTCCTCCTCGGACATTGCATTGCCCCAAGCGGCATCATAGTTAATAAGTAAGACACCATGGTGAACTGATGTCCAATCGTGGTACGTGAAACTTCTCGCCGGCCGTCTCCTGGACAGTTTTGATAGCCTTGTTAAGGTCCAGGACGTCCTGGATCGTGGGCTTGTTCTGGGTTCGCTGCGCCATGGACACAGCACATGACAAGTCTGGCCTCGTCTCACGAGCTGGCCACCCAAGACTCCTGATAGCACTCCGGTTGTCCGCAATCTCCGCGCTGTTACACTCCAAGTCAGGCCTCGACTTCCGGGACTTCTCCAGCTCCACAGGCTAGAGCCTGCCCTCGATACAGGTAGACCGGTCCAGCGCGAAGCCGCCGTTCGGATCCCTCTCCAGGTTCTTCCCACAGAACACGACTGGAACACGACGCCACTCGCCAAAATTGAACAACCCACGCACTCCTTGGCGCAGAGCTGGCGACTAAGCAGCTACCAACAAATCGTCAGCATGTACACAAACTAAAAAGCACAACCCGCCCTCCTGGTCGAATCCGCGGAACACCGTTGGATCCAGCCATGACTGCATCACGTGGATGGTCTGCCCGCTCTCGCCCTCCAGCCCAGCATCGATCAGACCTCGGCGTAGCTTCCTCCACCACCAACGTGGCGCGTCAGCAAGTCCGAGGATGCCCCTCTTGACTCTCAGCAAGCACCCGGGGTCCATGTCGGGCAGGCCCTCCTTAGGCCGGGCCACGTAGAGTTCCCCCGCGCGGCCGCGCCCCCCCACCCCCCCTTCCATGAAGGCGCGCTCGACATCTCCAGCCACGATCTCAAAGTCGTAGACCGCCGCCAC